CAGAGGGTCTGAAACAGAGTGCGGGAAATAGAGGGGCTGAAACAGAGCGGCTGAAGCAGAGTGCAGGAAATAGAGGGGCTGAAACAGAGGGGCTGAAACACAGTGCGTGAAGCAAAGGGGCTGAAGCAGAGGGGCTGAAGCAGAGTGCATGAAGCAGAGGGGCTGAATCAGAGAGCGAGAAACAGACAGCGAGAAACAGGGGGGCTGAAACAGAGGGTCTGAAACAGAGTGCGGGAAATAGAGGGGCTGAAACAGAGGGTCTGAAACACAGTGCGTGAAGCAAAGGGGCTGAAACAGAGGGACTGAAACAGAGGGGCTGAAACAGAGTGCGAGAACCAGTGTGCGAGAACCAGAGTGTGAGAAACAGAGTGCCAGAAACAGAGTGGTTGAAACAAAGGGGCTGACACAGAGGTGCTGAAACAGAGGGGCTGAAACAGAGGGGCTGAAACAGAGCGGCTGAAACCGAGCTGCTGAAACCGAGGGTGAGAAACAGAGTCAGAGAAACAGAGTGCGAGAAACAGTGTGCGAGACACAGAGGGGCTGAAACAGAGTGCATGAAGCAAAGGGGCTGAAACAGGGTGCAAGACACAGAGGGGCTGAAACAAACTGCGAGAAACAGACTGCGAGAAACAGGGTGCGTGAAACAGAGTGCGTGAAACAGAGTTCGAGAAACAGAGGTGCTGAAACAAAGTGCGGGAAACAGACTGCAAGTAACAGAGCACGTGAAACAGAATTGCAGAAACACAGTTGCAGAAACACAGTTGCAGAAACAGAGTTGCTGAAGCAGAGTTGCTGAAACAGAGGGGCTGAAACACAGTGCGTGTCAGAGTGCGAATCAGAGTGCGAGAAACAGAGGGACTGAAGCAGAGGGGCTGAAGTAGACTGCATGAAGCAGAGGGGCTGAAACAGAGAGCGAGAAACAGAGGGGCTGAAACAGAGGGCCTGAAACAGAGTGCGGGAAATAGAGGGGCTGAAAAAAAGGGGCTGAAACAGAGTGCGAGAAACAGAGTGAGAGGAACAGAGGGGCTGAAACAGAGTGCGGGAAACAGGGGGGCTGAAACAGAGGGGCTGAAACTGAGAGCGAGAAACAGAGCAAGAAAGTGTGAGAAACTGTGTGCGAGAAACAGAAGGGCTGAAACAGAGGGGCCGAAACAGAGGGGGTGAAGCAAAGGGGCTGAAACAGAGTGCGAGAAACAGAGTGCGAAAAACAGAGGGGCTGAAACAGAGTGCGAGAAACAGAGGGGCTGAAACAGAGTGCGAGAAACAGAGGGGCTAAAAAAGAGTGAAACATGGGTGGGTGTACGTTCAGCAAATTGGTCCCACTGCAGATTGGGATTGCTGAGGGAGAAAGGGAATGAGCGACCAAAAGGCAGAGAAAAAGCAGGAAGGCAGTGCAGGTGTCCCCTGCAGTCATCTCCCTCCAAAACAGGTATACCGTTTTGTATACTGTTGGGGGAGAAGGCTCACCAGGGGAAGGCAGCAGTAGCCAGGTTCACGGCACCGTGGCTGGCTCTGCTGTACAGAAAGGCAGGAATAAGAGTGGAAGGGCTATAGTCATAGGGGATTCGGTTGTAAGGGGAGTAGATAGGCAGTTCTGTGGTCATAAACGAGCCTCCCGAATGGTATGTTGCCTCCCAAGTGCATGGGTCAGGATTGTCTCAGATCGACTGCAGGACATTCTGAAGGGGCAGGGGTGAACAGCCAGCTGTCGTGGTGCATATAGGCACCAAGGATACAGGTAAAAAATGGGATGAGGTCCTACAAGCAGAATTTAGGGAGTTAGCAGTCAAGTTAAAAAGTAGAACCTCAGAGGTAGTAATCTCAGGATTGCTACCAGTGCCACGTGCCAGTCAGATTAGAAATGAAAGAATAGGCAGGATAAATGAGTGGCTTGAGAGATGGTGCAGGAGGGAGGGGTTCAGATTTTTGGGACATTGGGACCAGTTCTGCGGGAGGTGGGACTATTACAAATCAGACGGTCTACACCTGGGCAGGACTGGAACCAATGTCCTAGGGGCTGCTTTTGCTAATGCTGTTGGGGAGGGTTTAAACTAATGTGGCAGAGGGATGGGAACCAAATGAAGAGGTTAGTGGACAGTAAGTTGGTAGTAACTAAAGCCTGTAAGGAACTAGATAATGAAGTCAGTGTGACTAAGGGGAAGAGTAGGCAGAGAGCAGATGATGAACGCAAAGGGGCAGGTGGTCTGAGGTGTATTTGTTTAAAAGTGAGAAGTGTAGTAGGTAAGGCAGATGAACTTAGGGCTTGGATTAGTACCTGGGAGTATGACGTTATTGCGCTTACTGAGGCTTGGTTGAGGGAAGGGCAAGATTGGCAACTAAATATCCCAGGATATAGATGCTTCAGGCAGGATAGAGAGGGAGGTAAAAGGAGTGGAGGAGTTGCATTACTGGTCAAAGAGGATATCACAGCTGTGCTGAAGGAGGGCACTATGGAGGACTCGAGCAGTGAGGCAATATGGGCAGAGCTCAGAAATAGGAAGGGTGCGGTAACAATGTTGGGGCTGTACTACAGGCCTCCCAACAGCGAGCGTGAGATAGAGGTACAAATATGTAGACAGATTATGGAAAGATGTAGGAGCAACAGGGTGGTGGTGATGGGAGATTTTAATTTTCCTAACATTGACAGGGATTCACTTAGTGTTAGGGGTTTAGATGAAGCAGAATTTGTAAGGGGCATCCAG